TTTTGATACACTCAAGTTATCGTGTTGACTTCCTACAATCCTAATTCCTTTGGTCTCATAAGGATTCCTCCTTTCAATGAGCAGAACTTCGACATGTGGAAAACTAAGGCCATGGTTGCTCTTGAAAACGATGGACTATAAGATGCTTAAAATTGTTGAAAAAGGTCCTCACATTCCTATGTATCAACCTATGGTCAACAATGCCATCATTGGTCCTTTGAAGCAAAAACCAAATACTAGTTGTGACGGTAATGAAAAGAAACTGATTAGTCTTGATGTGAAAGCTAGAGCAGCAATAGGAAACTCTCTTCCCTATCACATGTAGCATCTTGTATAGAATTATGGAAGTTCAATCCACTACCATCAACAACATCAATCAGAGATATAATCATTTATTCACTCAACAAGGTGACTAGGTCAGTCACTAACCCAAACTTTTAACAGGTTTAATTGTTTGGTAAATGATATGCATAGGTTGGGAACTGTTATACATTATTCTCAGTTAGTACTGAAGTTCTTGGAATCTCTTGGGAAAAGCTAGGAACATCACGCTGATAGAGTTAAAACTAACCTTCTAAAATTATCTAATCCCTACAACATGTAACCTAACATATTCGCTTAATAGTTAGTTGATATTATTGGAGGTCTTTAAAAACATAAAGCAAGCAGCATTTAAGCATCGAGTAATCTAAGACAATGCCTCACTTAATCAGGCCATTATATCTAATCAATCGGAAATCATTACTAGCATGCAGTTCCATAAGGTCAATCAGTAGACATATAAAGGCATCTCTCCTAGCATTCTATCATGCAAATCTTGACAAATCCTTAACCCTAGTCTAGCATTCAATCCTTATATTCTTATATCAAAACAATAAGCATAACATATGTATGTGTATTTTGGGAAATACTTACTTGAGCTCGGCTGATTTCATGCATCGTACCCCTTTCTATTAGAAAAACTCATTCTCTTTTAAAACATTTTATCAACTCCTCTATTTGATTTCAGACACACCCGATAATGTGTCCGAATCCCTCAAACCAAGGCTCTGATACCAACTTGTAACGTCCCTAAACTACCAAGTAAAATTTTCATTTTTAAATAATTCAAAACCATTCATTCATTATCTTAAATACGATCAAAATAAAAGTATTCAAAACATTGGAGTAATTCGCAAACATTTAGTGTATAATAAATCTTTAGGCGATGTAGTGCGATCAAGTCGGGCCCTTCATTTTGAAACCAGAGGTACCTAAAAACATTTTAAACATAAAAAGTACGCAAAAAGCTTAGTAAGTTCCCAAATACCACATACCATACAAGCAAAGGGCCCCGTCCAATGAGTATAACAGACCTCGCTCTAACTTACATAACGAGCCCTGCCCAATGAGTATAACGGGCCTCGCCCTAACTCGCATGACAAGCCTTGTCCAATGACTATAACGGGACTCACATAACGAGCCCTTCCCAATGAGTATAATTGGCCTCACATAACGAGCCCTTCCCAATGAGTATAACGGGCCTCGCATAACGAGCCCTTCCTAATGAGTTAACGGACTTCGCCCTAACTCGCATAATGGGTCCTGCCCAATGAGTATAACGGGCCTTACGCTAACTTGCATGATGTGTCCTGCCCAATGAGTATAACGGGCCTCGCCTTAACTCGCATAACAGGCCTCACCTAACATACAAAACATACAAGTATCACACAGACAATTAGAATCCTACAAACATAATCTAGTGGGTCGACATTGGTGTCTTCGACCCACGAGTACAGTGAAGAGACTCACCTCAATCCAAAGATAATTGAATCTCATAATCGCCACTATTATAAGAGCTCATCACACTAAACACATCCAAAACATCCCAAATTAATGATTAAGGTGATAACCTATGATCAAAAGTCTATTCCATACACTCTTAATAGGGTAAAAGACCATTCTACCATTTCCAAGATAACCCCAACCAATCATGGACAAAAGCCCAAAAATGGCCCAAGTACACCTCTCGGAGTACGCCATGCATACTCTCTTTTACGCTTTTCGTACCAAGCTCTCACATAAAGGAAACGGGCATTTCCCATTACGCGTAATGTACGGTTACGCTACGCCCCGCGTAATCTCGCTAATACCAAAACGACTTTTTAAGTTCTTAATATTTTAAGACATTCCACTCAAAGCTCAGGTCTAGTTCCTTATAGATATGTAATGGATAAAGTTTCTGAATTTATCCATTAAGATGGTCCAAACAACCAAGATCTAGTCTTTAAGTCTCAAAAGGACCAAAAATGCATTTTTCTTAACTTAATCCATTATGTCCAAGTCTCCAACCTTCAGAACCGAATCAATATGATGTTTAAATGGATCAAGTTTCCAACTTTATCCATAACAAGGTCATAAAACTTTTAAGATCTAAACTTTATGCACTAAAATGACCAAAAAGTGGCAAATATGACAAATGACTAGATCTATGAAACCAATGAGCAAGTTAGAAGCTTTTTACTCACAATGGTCCATGAACGATGTAATCTTGTTGGAGTTATATTTAAACTCTTCTCATATATACTTTTCCACCACCTTTCTCTTCAAGATTATACCTTCTAATGGAGAAATAAGCTCATAAATTGTGGAGTAAATTACTGAAATCGTCCCTGTGGTTTGGTTAAAATTGCATATTTGGTCCCTAACTTTTATTTTGCACTCGGATCGTCCCTGTGGTTTGATTTTGTTGCATTTTTCGTCCCTATGGTTTGGTCAAAATTACATGTTTGGTCCCTAACTTTATGTATGTAAGGAACGAAAAATGCAACAAAATCAAACCACAGGGACGAAAAATGCAACAAAATCAAACCACAGGGACGATCTGAATACAAAAGAAAAGTTTGGGACCAAACGTGCAATTTTAACCAAACCATAAGGACGATTTCAATAATTTACTCTAAATTGTGACAATACGAAATTTCTATCTTGTAAAGTCAGTTAGTTCAATCTAATGTCAGACTTGTTTTTGCTATCTTTCCAGCTTTGTTAAGGGTCTGTTTGAGTGCTCTATGTCTAGTACATTCAAGGATTGGGTGTTAGGAAGTATCTGCTAGAGTTCACTGTGCAACATTCAAGCTGGAAAACTCCATCATGTGGAGTTTACGGCCGTAAACTAGGGTTGACGGCCGTAAACTAGGGTTTACGGCCGTAAACCCTTGGCTGGCCGTGAAATCCTCCCTTATTCATGACATTCTTTCACTTTTCTTCATTTCTCACCCTTGCAACTCAATAACACTCACTTCTCTCTCAAGTATCATCAAGAACACTTCCATTTCTCGTCAAATTTTTAAGTGATTTTTCCCTTTATTAGTTGTTATCCTTCTTGATCTAGTAACACCCTTTGATTTCATCATTGAAATTCATCTTTTTGGGTTAGATCTTCAAGATCATCATCTTTCACCAAGAACACCCACTTGTTCTTGGTGGCCGTCAACCCCCTTCAAGCTTCCAAATTGTAAGTATCCTTTCCATATACTTGGTATTCATTAGAAGCTCTTGATTAACATCCTAGAAACAACCATTTTAGCAAGAACATTAATAGTTTACGGTCGTAAAACCTTGCATGGCCGTAAACCCTTGTGAGGTCGTGAACATCTTCAAGTCTTGGCCATAAACTCCTTGTTGTTTCTTGTGTTGGTCTTAAACTCATTGGCTGTAAATACCCTTGGCTGAAAACTCATTGGCCGTAAACACCCTTGTGTGGTCGTAAACCCCCTTAATACAATCACATGTGATTGTAACACTCCAATCCAAGTGTTTCTTAGTCCCTAAGGTGGTCCCCTATAATGATTAGTTGTTATATAGACTAATTATATACATATATGTGTCGTTATATGCTTAATAGGATCCGTTTGTGCTCGAGGCTTCCCTTAACACTTAGCATCCTATATTGATCTTACATTCGAATCACTCACTACAGGTGAGTTCATACCCCTAACTTACCTTTTAAATTATTTTAAATACTTTTATGAGGGGGGATACAAGTAGAAACATTATAGTTATTATATCAATCACATGTGATTAATAACTATCAAACAAATGGATTTCTTATACTTCAAACGGTGTTATCAAACAAACTACTTCAAAACATTTTATCAAACTCTTATATATGCTTAACTCTTAACAAACGCTTTTAAACTTATATTTTGTCAAAATCATGTCTATACAGATATAGTTATATAAATAAGTTTGAAAGGGCTTAGGACTGATAACTTGCTTTATTTCCTGTTCCTTGTTTGGTTGTGGACTTAGGGTATCGGTTGTTTGTCCGAATGTCGTTTGGATCTTATATATATATATATATATATATATATATATATATATATATATATATATATATATATATATATATACACGCACACACACACACACACACATATATATATATATATATATATATATATATAAGTTCTTACATTAGTTCAATGCCTTTGGGTAACAAAGGTGTACAAACATACTCAGTCATTCAAAAAACATTACTAGTAAACAATAATCACTACTAGAAAAAAGGCCTTTTACGACGCTCATTGCGTGTCGTAAAACGCTCAGACGACGCGCAAATGCGTGTCGAAAAATCTCCTTTTCACTATAGTTGGAAAGTATATAATAAACAAAGACTTACTGCTACAATGACAATACAAAAATAGAAATCGGTTGTTGTTGCTATCATGCACCTGTGAGCATTTACAACTATGTATGAGCATTTACTATTACACTTTTTTACATAAATTAAATAAAAGGGAAATTTTAAATGGTAACTTGATAATACATTGGCATTGAATGTAGATCCATCAACGATAAGCACATAAATAAAAGTTCCCAGCATCAAGTAGCCTAGTGCAGAAATGATTATTTTTGCAATTAAAACAAAATGTCCCCTTTTGTATCCCATGGCATCCCTATATAAGCCAAATATATAATAAAATTACAAGCATTTTAGCAAACATTTTTACTTGATTTTAGTTTTTGTTATCGTTATTGGACATGTCCCTCAAAAGATATAATGGATCCTTTGATGATTCTTCTGGTGACAACTTAAAGAACTGCAGAGCCACGTATCATTTGTAATAGGGCTGTAGAGGGAATGAAAATTTACTTAAAACATGTTACACTTGTAATTAATAGTAATAATAATAATAATAAAGTTTAATTACCTTCTTGTAAAAAGTACAACAGGTATCAATACAACTGCCTTGATCCAGCATGATTCCTTGTAGACTATCCAAGCCTAAGATTGCAAGTATATACACAACCACATATAACTCCATTTGATTCAACAAGCTTGTAACACCATGGTCAAGATCAGTTCCAAAATCTCCAGTAAACACGCCACCTGAATAGATCTGGAAACCCATGCCACTGGCATCAATGGCAACTGATATGGGTTGATTAGCGACTGTCTGTAACAATGCGGATTCAGTGTTGGCTGGCACTTTTTCATACCCAGTAATGGTGGCAGCATGGACAACTTCTTCCTTGGTGTTGCAGGTTCCATCTGTTGCCTGATATGGGTAAGCCACCTCAGTGTTGATGCCTTTGTTTTTAACGATAAACTCAAAGCCATCTTCCATCTCGCCACCATCACATCCTCCGTTTTGTTTTTGGGGGGGTTTTGATTGGTGTTTGTTCCTTTAGGGTTCCGTTTTCAGAATGGATTCCTGTAATCAAAGATTTTGATATTAGTATGGAATTGAGTTCCAAATATTCAAATTGCAGTAAAAGAAATGATCTTACTGTTACCGTTTTCCGTAGAGCGACCATTTAAAGGAGGGGAAGAAGCAAACCCAGTGTAATCACCTGAATTTAAATAAAAAAAAAATGAGATAAAAAATGATTATTTTTATTTTTAAGGTAGCAGCAGAAAATTAGTTTACCGTTTGTTTGTGCTGGAGAAGATGCGTTTTTTAATTTTTCAGCAGATGATTTGCCAGGCCATTGTTTAAGAGGGCGAATAACCAGAGCTCTTGGATTCTCCCTTGGAATAAAAAGAGCATCTGCTTTTGGTGTGCTGGTAGTCTCTTCATCATCACTAAAAAACGAAACCTGTAATTGTAAAAAAAATAAATCAGATCCATAAAAAGCAATAAGGGCAAAATAGTCAATATAACAACAGATATTACCTTTGGCCCATCGTTTTTCGGGTGATACTTTCTAGCACCCCACGAATTTTTTACCAACCAGTACTTCATGCCAAAGCTGTGTATATGATGTATTCACCATCACCACAGACAACAACATACCTCCTATTTGGGTTGTGCTTCAAGCTCTGTGGAAAAATAGAAAAGTCAAAGTCCATATGGTTGACTATTTTTAGTTTAAAGGAAGGTAGGAACAAGCATAACTCACTTGTGGATAAAGATCACATGTTCCCAGTTCTTTAACTGCTAAAGGCAGCCTCTCTCCATCAGAAACCTGAATAAAAAATAGATTTTTTTCCCATTTCATTGTTAACATAACATAACATGTATATGGGCTTTAAAGTCCAAACCTCATGATCAGCTCCCACACTCTTGATGTTAATAGTTTGAATTTCATTATGTTTAGCCCATATAATTTTTCCACTATTGTCCATGCTGGCTACAGGCTCTTCACGTCCAATTTTCACCATTATGGTTCCTTCATCATAGCCAATAACAATCCTGTAAAAACAGTAATTAAAATAAATCCAGATGAATGAAGAAGCATCAAGATTCAAGACCCACAAAACAAAAAACAAAAAGTGCTATACAAACTTACCGACGTGAACCTTTCATGTATCCAACAGCCCAAACCCTTTCAAGTCCATAGTTCAAGGTGTTCTCAAGTCTGAATAAAAAAAAAGAGTGGCATAAAGTCAAAAAGTTTACATTTTTAACATATGTATAACGAGGGTATTTTGGTCTTTTGATAGGAAATGAAGAAAGAAATTGAATTCCTTCCATCCATCAAACATGGAATTTGAAGGAATCCAACAAAAATTGAATTCCATCCATTTGGAAACCAAACACACCATGGAATGGAATCTAGCATTCCGATTCTTTTAGAATCTACAAAACAAACACACCCTTAAAGGTAAAAAAACAAGAGCTCACTTGTAAGTGGTTGAATGCCATATACGGACAGTACCATCTTCTGAACCTGTCATTATTATTGGAACCTCGGGATGGAAACATACATTAGAAACATTGTGTGTGTGACCTTCAAGAGTTTGGACACAGGTTTTAGTTAGCAACTCTACAGTAACAGATCACAGTTGTGACCGTATTGCTGGATTCTCATATTGAGATAGTAAAGGGAATCAAATCAGTTTAGAAATTGTAAGTAAATGAGATTCAATTCCTATTACATAAATTAAATTCCAACTCCTAAACACTAAATTGATTTTTTTATCATTATCAAAACACAATTGGCTGATTACTACTCATGTGTATGTATAATAATAGTAAATTGAATCTAATAGGAATACATAAATTTTTATTTACCTGTGAGGTTGTCACTGTGGCAGGTTGCTTTGAACCTTGTTCATTAATCTTTGGACAATCCCCTTTTGGTTCAAACATTTAGTCAAACACCTAGTGTGCATAAAAAAATCAGGTACTTATATCATAAAATATTAACAATTCCATGAAAATATATGAGAGAGGGTAAAAAGGCACAAAAAATCGTCCAAAAAGAAGGACCAGTAGGACATGAAACAGGTAACTATGGTTGAAAAAGGAAGAATTACCTTTGAAATAGGCCTACTACACAGATGAAATAGGCAACAGTGGTGGTATAGTGGTGGTTCTGGGCTGTTGCGAAGGCAGTGTGGTGGTGGCTCAGGGCTGGTGTTGTGGTGCGATGTTGTAACGGTGGAGTCTAAAAGCAAACACAAATTGTGATGGAAGCTATTGTTGTTGGTGATGTCCGATTCATCAAAAGAAAATCATTCTTCGATCAATCTTCTATTTTATGAAAGAAGATATTACTATTTCAAATGTGTTATGTTTGATTAGGGTTTGCACATAGAAGGAAGTGAAAGTCGATCGGAGAGGAAGGGGTTTGCAGAGAGAAAGAAGGGAGAGAATGAAGTCGATTTTGGCGGGTGTAGAGAGTAGAGAGGAAGAGGAAGCGGGTGTTCAAAATTTTGGGGGATGTAGTTTCCCCCCTTACCTATCAAGGAGTCCCAGAAACGCGCGTTTATTAAAATTATAAAGCGACGTTTGTAGAGGACGCCCGTTTTATTATAGGTGCCCTCTGTGTTTTTAATATTTTTACATGAGACACTAATTTAAGGGCACTCAGTAATGCGCGACCTAAATCCTTAAAATTTTTGAAGAGATGACACTTTTTTAATGTTGCTCTCTAATGCGTAACATAAATCAAAGAGCATCGTGTTTTGCGCGTCGTAAAAGGCCTTTTTTCTAGTAGTGAATATGTATAGTTTAGGGGACTACTACTCACTATTTCTAGTACAATGAAACATACAAGAGTCAGTTCATACTTACTATAACGAGAAACATAATTAACATACTATAACGAGAAACAGAAAGAACATCCTATAAGGAGAAACAGGGAGGAACATACTATACAAAGAGAACATACAATACACTAGAACAGATAGAGCATACTATAAAAATACAAGAATACTGTAACATTAATCCGAGCCACTACTTCATGGCATGGCAATATACTATTGTGTCACATTTTGTAACCAGAGTCTCCTGGAGGGATAGCATGAATTTTGTGTATAGATCTATACTGGATTGACCATCCTACACCTTGTTGATAGCTACAGTGGGACCTGCAGGTCTACGGGCGACGAAAGTTATACCATTTCGACGTCTTTGAGCGTCGTGTTTTACTTTTCGATCAAGCATGGTTACAACCATATCACATTTTAACTTAATTAACAATTGGTTTAAGGTAGTTAGTACAATAGTAGTTACTATATAAAATACTACGATACATCATTATTTTTCCCATTGCATTCACATTGTGATCTTCTCACATAAACGATAATGTAAACTACATTTCGGTAATGATAGTCATACTTGGGAAAAACACTCACTTTTACAAACAAACAACATTCAGAACATTTGGGTCTTGGTAGAAGGCTACATTTCAAGTAGAAAATATAGGATTTTCTAGGAGATACAAATATTTACAACAAACATTTACTACAAACGCTTACAAACATTTACAACAAACATTTACAAACACTTTCATCAAACTTATACAAACTTTTGACACTGAATACTTATGAACTCACCAACTTAAATATTGATCCTCTCTTTCAAAACAACTTGTATTCTCAGGTCACCAGTAGACAGGTTTTGAGAAGACGGAGCACTTTCAAGCTCGTCTTTTATTTTTTATATATATATTTTGGTGGATTGCAAATACATTCAGAACACACATGTATAAATTATACTATTAATGAAATGGATGATGTTGTTGCTTGTTTTACTATTATTCATTGTTATGATGTTGTACATGATGTCCTCCACCCCGAATGTTTCCGCCAATTCAGTTTGGGGGTGTGGCATAAATGATGCCAATGCTCAAAGTAAAGAGAGATGAGGTTAGGGTTTCTCAAGAAATGATCTTAGGTGATAGAGGTTGGTAATGAGAGGGTTTCCAATAAGTTAGACCCCTTAAATAGGGTCAAAACCGAAGATTTAGGGTATTGATCTACCCAGATTACATCATTCATAACTCGTTAAACCCCGTTATGCCCTATGTAATCCAAAATCCCCAATTTCCACTTCAACTTCAAACATCTATAACTTTTTCATTTCAACTCCATTTTCAGTGTTCTTTATATGCACAAAAAGGTATTGAAGAGCCCCATAATCTTGTCTAATTACTTTTGACTTAAAACATATCGAGTTAAAATCCTTAATTCATGAAAGAAGTCTAAAAAATTTCCTATTTTACCCTTTGACTTAAAAACACAAGCCAAGAGCTTGGATCACATAACCAATACTATCCACATCCAATATGGTCCAAACCCTATTCCCTTAAAGCCTAAGGCCTTTACTTGATTCATCTTTTATCCATAATCCCAAAATAAGAAACTTCTTGAAACAGGATGTTACACACACCTAATGTATTCATCAAATAATTTATTAGCATCAACATAAATCCTAAAGTATTTCACTATCCAGATATAACAAACATACAAGGCATCTCTCCTAAATAGGTATTTTAACATGCAACCCTAAGCATATCCTAATCCTAACACTAATATGCAGCTTATATCATATCATGAGAAAACATAACATTCATGTATGGGTATTCTGGGAATTACTTACTTGAGCCCAACTGATTGCATGCAACGCACCCCCTTTTCTATAAGAAACCCTTTTTAGAAAACATTTTATTGTAAAAAGATTTTAATATTTCCTCATTTTGAGTCCAGACGCACCCCGTGCTAGCCTGAATCCCTCAAACAAAAGCTTTGATACCAAATTGTAACATTCCGAAAATACTAGGGAAAAATTTTCATTTTTAAAATAAATAAAACCATTATCCAAAACATGATTATATTGTTTTTATAAAAATATCATAGTAATCCCAAAATCTCATAGCGTGTAAGTCATCAGGGGATGCAATGTAATTAAGCTGACTCCTTTCCCTTGCTACTAGAAGTACCTAAAACATTTAAACGTAAATCGTTAGCACAAAGCTTAGTGAATAACCCAAAATATCATATACCATACATTATAGTGGGCCCCACCATAAAGGTATATTTCAACCCAAGTGCTTGTTATGATTCCACCATTGTCTTACAATCATTTCCATTGCTACAACCTCGTTGAAGTCTTTTTCGCCATGGTCACACTATGGTCTTCCATGCAAGTGTTATGATCCAACCACCGTCTTGCATACAAGTGTTGTGATACCACCAAAATCGTTCATGCAAAAGTCACACAGACAATCTAGCATACGTGGCACCTAATGTCCTATATAGTATAGTGAGAAAACTTATATGATTAAAAGAGTTGTAATCGTTTACTCGAAAATCCCATTGAATCAGCTACATGAACCTCCTAACCAATCACAAACCAAACCTCAAGCTACCATTCGAAACCTCTTCAAGTTTGACTAAAAGTCAATCTAGTCAAAAGTCATCGGTCAAGGTCAAAGTCAACTCAACAGTTTACCACGTTGTGGTTGTTCTACGACAAAAGAGTCACGAAAAGTCTCTCCACTACATTGTGGTATGCATGCCACCACGTCCTATGATCCGTTCAGCACAACTTAATTGATTAAGCCCTTAATCCATTAAGCTACATACTCATATATTCCAAAAAGCTTCCTTAGACTCATATGCATAAAAAAATCCTTATTTTGTGGACATGCACATCGAATGCATGTCATGCACTCAAGTTAGGTCAAAATGAGAAGTGTAACACCCACTTATTTATTAAATAAATAAATAAATAAATGAGGGACTCATAGCCCTAAAATAAACAATTATGTATAAAAGGATGGTCTCGAGGAGCTAATTGTAAATATGTTAGAAGATGGAGGTTGTTAGGTAAAAGATGGGACTTAATTTGAAAGGGATTTTCGAGGTCAGGGTTTAAATGGTAACTATGGGGGTTTATTTTGAAAGAAAAGGGAAAAAAGGGACTAAAGATGGTATTATGGAAAGTAGTTAAGGGGACTGGGTATATAAACCCGTCACCCATTCTTGAAACCTAACCCTAGCGGCCTTTATCAGCCGCCATCCTCTCTTTGACCATCTCCAGCCGCCACTGCATAGTTAAGTTCCATCACCACCTAGTACTTCGCAGCTAGAGCGCCACCACCACTGTTGTACCTCCCTCTACCGACGACAACGAGAACCATGTTTCTGAGACCGTTCCACAGCAACCGAACCGCCGAGACCAGCTGCCGTCCTTGTTTCTACAACAAGTGAAGAAGAAGGCTGTCAATGGAAGCTGTGACAGCAAGCTACCGGAAGAAACAAGCTAAGGGTTGTCGTGGTCGCTGCTCTCGGTGGCATATTGAGTCATTTTTCCCTCTTCGTTCTTCTTCTGTTGCGATGGTCACAGGTCCTCTGTCGCCGCATGTGCAATATGTTGTTGCTCCAGTCATCGTTTGCCACCTAAGAGGCGGTCGAGTTCATGTCTCACGTGGGTTCAAGGGCGTTGTTGTTTTAGATTCACGGGGTGTGTTGCTGCTTGACGAGAAATTGAGAGAAACCACCGACACCACCATGAGGTGGTGGCTGTCATCACCAAACCTCTGTTGTCAGCCGCTATACGCCACCAAGAAGGTGGTTGGGTCCTTTTGCAACCAGAGCATGTGTATGTGGTTGTGTTTTTCCACTGTTGGCGTGTGTGTGTAGTTGAAGTTCTCGGAAATGGCATCACCACCACCATAGGGTGG